CCACTCAATCGGTCTATGGTTCCTAGTGGATATTCAGCCCAAAGTTACGGATATCTGAGGATATAGTGGGTTTTAGCCCACCGGGAGCACTATGAGACCGCATGAAAGGACGGCATTTGTGTTGTCGCGCATGGTCATGGTCGTAGTCGAGAAGACGGGTTTGTTTGTGTCGTGTTTGGCAACCTTGCGTCAAATTCCGACGCGAGCCGGCAATAGAGCCGGGCGCTCGGGAATTCGGAAATACAACTTCCGAAGGAAGGATTGCCCAAAGTCTCATCTATCTCATTTCTCTCATATGTTCATGAGTTTAAGACCAGATTTCGGCTTCGAGATATTATTAGACGCTCAAGAATATCCAAGGCTCTATTCTGTTGAGCAGCCTAAAACCCAGAAACACTTCTCGTCGTGAGCACTGTAGAACAAACTATTGCAAGAGTGATTATCAACTTGGCTAGAACTTAGCTAAAGCTGATGCTACATGTATGTATGGACTATCCCGACCCTTCCCAGTTATTTATCTTCCCTTCCCCCGTGTTGGAGTTGCTCACCTGCGTACCGCTGCCCTTGTTTATATTCTGATCACCAGTGCCGTTGTTATTATATTCGTGCGTGACGTTCGAACTCATAGGCGGAGGGTTATGGTGACTGTGCCTCCCGCCATTGATGTCCGGGCTCACATCGCCGTGTCGAACTCGAGCATTGCCATCGCTGCCACGCCGGGATCCACCATAATAGTCGTTATGATGAGATTGATCGTCCACACAAAAGGTGTTGCACTGCGTTCCATTCCCTGAATAAACGTTGTCGATTGTCTTTCCGGGGCCTGTTACGATGTTCTGGGGATAAGGGTCACTGTTATCGAATGAGTGTGTCGTAGTGGCGGGCTCAGAATTGAACTCTGGTTCGAACTCGGAATTCGGCTCGGACGAGTCTTGTGGCACATCGACTAGGCATTGGGGATTATCCGGGATCGGTGCTGAGTGTGCCATGTTTCTGTCGTTGATGAAGGGATTAGGATTGGAAGAATAGGAATTGTCGTCGTTGATGTTGGTGTTGCTTCTGAAAGTGCCGTCCTCGGAACTCGAAGACGAAGGCCTGGGAAGTTGCATAGTCGGTAGTAGGCAACGTTTGAGATGAAACTGGAGCTGGCAAGTGGGAAAGGTTGATGGGTAAATGAGTAGCGATGCGAAGGTTTTTACACTACGGGCACGGGCCATACAATATAAAAGGGTAATCAAAGCGTAGTGTGTGGCCCGTTGCGGCAAGGAGACACAAGGCTTCTTCCCTTCGTTCTTGTGTCTTGCCCCGTGAGGTGGCCGTCGAGTCAGAGCCTAGTGCCACACCTGCGAACCCACAACCACTTCGTTTCTATAACACTGTACCAGGACCCCTGAAAATGGGTGAGTAGGTCGGTTCCGAAATAGGTTGATTTTCATTGTTTATAGGTGGACAGCTGAATTTCCTTTTATGGTAACCAATAGGTGGAAACAATCACCAACCTTCGGACTTGAGCTCTCGATAGGTGGATTTTGGAACCAACCTCGAAAAAATCGGGAAAATTTGTAAAAAATTATTAGATACGTGGATACTACTCAAATGGTATATCCTCCTATAGAGCTCGCGAGCAACAACAATCGGGGGGTCCTTGTAGACTTTTCCGTGTTCAATCAAGGTAGAAAGCCGCTCTTCGCTCATGAGTGCGGGGCTGTAGATGCGAGCGGAGGAAAGGAAAAGCACACAGACTCTTGAATTTTCACAACATAATATACAGGAGTCTTTGAATATCATTGTTATCCCAAAAAAAAAAGCATCAGAACGGGTCGTTGCGTTAACAATAGTGAGAGAAAGTCAACAATGAGGACAGACCCGGAGTGGCCGGACTCGCCTGGAGTGGCAGCCTGCAGGTGGCGGTAGGTGGACTTGGAACTGACCTTTCCCCAAATGGACCTCCATAAGTGGACAATAGAACCAAGGATGCTGACATAATGTGAAGCGATAGGTGGATTCTGAGTGAGCAATGAACCAACCTTCCTGCCAGATTGGGTCACCTATAGGTGGATTCCGAACCGACCCTCCCACCAATTTTCAGGGGTCCTTAGTACTGTACCTCGCTGCTGTCATCAAAGGACTCACAATGATGACGCCGAACAATAGCCCTGTAAACAAGGTGTCCGACAACGTATCTGGAGTGTGCCACACTTGTGGATGGGATAGCCCCAAAACTCAATTCCGTCACGGTCTCGCCACAGAATTCCATCGAAAACCTGAAGATCCACGATATTCGCGCGATACAGTATCATCTATACGGCGGAGAGTGAGGCGGAATGAGACGATCGATCGGTCAATCATCTCAAGCTACCCAAGTCAGGGTGGGACAACTTACACCCGGCACAATACATGGCCTTCACGGCTAGGAGGTTACCCAGCTTTCGCGCTGATAACAGAAAGTAATTGGCAGACGCGTGCACCAAGCGATATACTACCAGAGACGCCTTTGACCCGCACCTCGTAATTACTGGGTCAGTTCACGCGGTCTTGACTCATATCTCCGTCCCTCAGGGTGCCTTTGCCCAGAATTCTGTCTTGAATTTTTGATTAATCATGAAACCCCGTATCCTCAAGAGCTCGGGCCGGTATACCCACCTACTGGTGCACCTAGAGTGGCAAAACTCAGTGAGCCTTTTCTTTGTTTCTGTGTTGAGCATAGTCTCGGAAGATCAGGAACTCCGAGATTGCCTATTCTTTTCGATTACCATAAAAGTTGTGGATATCCCATTATAGCTCCCTGGCTGGGAGTCGAACCCAGCTTTCGCGCGTCGACAGATTGGTCGTTCAACTACATGACAGGCGCGTGTACTAACCGATATACTACCAGGGAGTATGGTATGACCGGAGGTCATGGGTACTTATACAGAGTCACCGACACGAGTGAATGTCAGAATTTTCAATGTTATCACTTGCTCGAGACTTATCATGGCCACCGGTCATCAGGGCTTGGTCTGCCGTGAGCATTTTGGAGGATGCAGGGGTATCAGGGTCCTGAGTTCAATATGAAATGGGTTATGGTAGCGGTTTATCGCACCCTCTGTTGGAATCCGTTTTGCCGACTTTAAAAAACAAGCTAATAAATGGTTTGTCTCGATCAGACCGAGCTTTTTTCGCGACTTTAAGAAGTGTTCAAATACTTTGATACCCCAAACGACGACGGGAATGGTCCACTCCCAATGAACTTTGGCTCGAAAATATTCTCAAACACTGAGTTGAGATACTTGGCCGAACGACCCTTTCAAATGAATATATATCACAGAATCCCGCTGTTGGCAGAAGTTGATCATTACAAGACACTAAGCTCAGCGTCTAAATTTGAATGCATTCGGCTTCGATCCGAGAACTTAGCTTACAGAGATGTGTTCAAAGCGACATTAATTTTACCGACATAAATTGAGCACTACCCCAACCCAGCAATTCGTTGCCCTTTGACTTCTCTCTGACCTCAAAGGTAGAGCGCTCCCCGCTCGTCATCGGATACCATACTGTTCCCCTCATTTCTAATCATGAGACATTCTTTTACCGCGTTATTTATACTCCTTTCCTCCCTCAGCACACTCATTCGCGCAATACCCGTCACCGAGCCAACAGGAGGAGATGGCTCATTCTCAGGTACCGGTGATACAGACATCATCCTATTCGATTCTCCCGCCTCGTCCTCTCACAGCGGACCCCTCGGCCTCAAAAAATCCTTAACCATCGACGCTCAAGCCTTTGTCTACAACAAACAAATCAACCTCGAGCCCCTTGAAACCTTCCTTCGTGCAACTCTCGACCAACTGGGCGCTGGTCCTATCCCAGACGACTTGATGTTCAGAGCCTTGGATCGAATGCAGCTTTTCGCTGCGTCCGGAGTTGCTCGAAAGGAAGTTACGGTTTCTGTGGATAGATGTGACCACGAAGGTACGCTTCCCCCAACCTCGGAAGTGGATTTGGGGATTTCAAGCGGGGTTGTTGAGGTTGGAGGGTGCGGATGGGGTCACGGAGTGGGATATGGTAGTGACGAGTTGAGTTTGACAGCGAATGGTGCTATTAAAGGAGACGAGAGTGGGTTGACTGCTCAGGCTACGGTTTTCACCTCGGGTTCTGAGGGATTTGGCGTCATATCTGGTGGGTAGATGCTTGTTGGCACTACCGTCTGTCCGAAATCCAATCTTCATCTCTAACCTCTCGCCAGACATCGACGACACGATCAAGATCTCCGAAGGAACCGACAAAGTCAAATTCATAACCTCCACACTGTTCGACGACGCTACCCCCGTCCCAGGAATGCCTGACATCTACAAATCACTCGCATCCTCCCTCTCTTCTCCCTTCCCCTTCTCCTCCAAACCCCAATTCATATACATCTCTGCCTCGCCCTATCAACTTTACCCCTATCTCCGTACCTTCCTGCAAAACACCTTCGACCCATCAACTCACGGCCCCCTTTTCCTTCAAAACATCACACTCTCCGAAATTAGCGAGCTCTTGACGATCCTCGATTCGGATACGGCACAAAAAGTCGAATATAAGACGGTCCAAATCGCTCGTGTGCAGAAGATGTACCCGAAGAAGAGTTTCTTGACTGTCGGGGACTCAACGCAAGGGGATCCAGAGGTTTATGCGAGAGCGTGCGTCCAGGGACATCCCTGTAAAGTCCGTTAATGAATACTGATACTCAGCATTCACGATAGATTCAAGACTTACGGTCCCTCCTTCATCCAATGCATCTGGATCCGTCTCGTCGAAGGTGGCGACAACTCTCCAGAGCGGTTCACAGCTGTATTCGAGGGGATCCCAGAGGATCGAGTGCGGTTATTCGACGATTCGCAAATTGCTACGTTGGTCGATATTGATGTGAAGGGCGGGCAGTGTTAAAGCAAGATGTGCGGGATATTCAGCACCGTCCATGAGTATGATGTCCCCTCGCATCTAACGCTACTGAAAAAATCTGTCAAATCTTCGAAGATTGGACACACTGGGAATTGAACCCAGCACCCCCCGCAGATGCAATTTCATCCAAGTGACATATGCTAAGCGGATGTGATAACCAACTACACCATGTGCCCCGATACACAGGCGGCGAGACCTCCCTTCATGATATCATTCTGTAAAACCTCTCTGCCAACACCTACGAGTTGGAAATGCACCCTCGACGACGTCTAAGCTGCAGATAGTAACAGTTGGGAGTTACCGATATGAGCGCACATACAAGCAAGGAAGCGGCATACGAGCATATCGATAATCAGAACGAAGTTTCTCTTCTGGTATCCTATAGATGATGCTATAACGCAGAATAGAAACTAGGACAGGAAGAGAAAAGTAGTATTTTAGGGTACCCCTCAGTTCTATCCGATCATAACGAGGCCGAATGGGTACGAGTGTCTCTGACACAATGCCAGATGACAGTCCCTAGAAAGTAGGCACTCCTACTTCCGGCGAATGCTGCTCAAGTGCTGGTGAAGGGAGGACGCCCATAAGTGATCTGTCACTGCCGAAAGTACACTACGGCGTGAGTTTGTTAAGTGAGTAGAAACCGATAGAAAGAACCGAGTGCGTATGCTCTCGTGTCTTGTGTTGGTTCCGAAGAAAGATGGGGCTGAAAGGTTCAGTTCCAAACGGCCAAGAACTTCGAAGGAAAGGAGAATCTTTTGTCGTGTTCCGTGGAACGCAACATCTAACAGTAGGCGTCTCAGCCTTGGCTTGGATACCGAAAAAGATAGACTGAACGTACTTGAAGTGTCCATATACAATCCTAGACACGAGCGAAGCCCGAGCCTTAGGATATGCATTTCATTTGAATCTCCTCGGACACGACCCAGCCAGAAATCATAACACGATGTGCGCGAGCGAATCATAGAGCGACGGTCTGAACAGGTGTGGCATACCCCCAATAGAAACCTTTTCTGACCAGTGGAAACGAAGTATTGAGTCTGGTGGGGTTCGGAGGCCGATTCGCAAGTCTACGTCGTGTTTTCCTGACGAGCAATGCTAGTGAAAGCTGAAGAAAACCACCATGTGAAATTGACGAGGAAACTCTCGACAGGCATGATAACACACCTTCCAACCCGTTTTTGACCAGCTAAGCCATAGCAAATCTATCCAGACCCTCACCATTCATACCGGTCAAAGAGACCCCGCTCGATGGAATTGACAGGACACCCTTTACTGATCAAGATGAGCAGACAGTCAGCTTGCGCGAGTGATTCTTATTCTTCATGAGGTACGCGGTTTCAAGTCAGATCGTCGGCTATCAATAAACAAGATCACGCTCAGGCTCTAAAAAACATGCAAAAAAAAGAAGAAAAAAACTAGGAGTCCAGACATACCTTCTTTCCCCGCATCTCAGTCCAACAGATTCCTTAATATGCTCGCATCAGGAAGCTGAGACGCTAGCCCTTTGCAACTGATCCATAATCGTCAATTTTCCTGGGTGGACTCTGGAGAATGTCTATAGAACGCGATTGGGAAGACGAGGATGATCAAAACCCAATTCATGGTCGACTTGAGAGCTGATATGATGGAGATATGTCGACCTAAGAGTATATCCGAGGCTTGCCTGGAAGATGCTTGTACGATAGGATGTCCTTGCGAGCCCTTGTCACTGTGCGTTTGCGTGAAAATTCGAACACAGCAGACGTTGGCATCTGAAAAGGACAAAGCGTCATTTGTTTGTTCCTTGATTGGCAAGACTTTGCGTTTGACAGCCCCGCGGAAACTCGGATGATACGAGGCTACCAGTCGTCGGAACGGGAAAAACAACTGTCGCATACTCATATTGGACACACTGGGAATTGAACCCAGCACCCCCCGCAGAAGCATTCCGCAGAGACCAAATGCTAAGCGGATGTGATAACCAACTACACCATGTGCCCGACTCTCTTCAGCTTCTCGCAAGCCTCTGGTCTGGGTGGTGAATCAGAGATTCCGTGAAGAATGTCAGCTTTGAAAATGGTATATAATCATCAGGGGCCGTGAGATAACTAGCACAGTACAGCCGGTACACCCTCAAGTCCAGCAACTCAGCACATTCAACACTCCCACGACCATTTTTACTAATATAGGTCAACGCTCAATTTCTGAATTGTGACCAGGAAGGTAATTAGTGTGACTCACTCATGAGATCGAAGGCTCCGGGAGAGCTTGATATTCCTCTAGCACCATGTTGACGAACGTAGAACAAGGTCGTGATGATTTCGTCAATCATCCCGGACTCGGACCCTGTGGGCGGTGAGATATGCAACGCCGGTGGGGTATCCTCAGGCTTCTTTGCTTTTGCTTTTGGAGCACTAGATGAGAAAGTCGCAATCACGGTGCGAGTTTCGTCCGCTGTCAGCTAGAAGTCATAAAGTGGTCAAGAGTGGTCAAGTGAGTCACAGCCTCCAAAGAAGCTGATAGGAAACAGTACTCACGTCGATCTTCTTCCTCCACTGATGAATCCTCCAAGTATACTTCTTCCCATCCGATAACATAAACGACATGCCACTACCGACATTTAGCCTCCGAAATCAAAAATCATCTTCAAGTTCTACGCACCCTTTCGCCCTCTCAACGACCCTCCCATTTACCGAGCACCCTTCCTTCGCTTTCCCATCAAAACTCCCAACCTCTACGCCATGTTTCCTAACGATAGTCGGGTTATCCCCACGTGCGGGCGTCGTGACTTCGAAATCAGGAGTCGATGTCGAGTTTCCAGCGAGGGTTATAGTAGTTATGAGACTCGAGTCTTCAGAAAATGAGTAGGCGAGGACGTAATCGAGAGTGGACGACATGGTGACTCAAACGTTCAAACCTGAGGGAATCGGGGTCGATCGGTTGGTATTTATATGTATCTACTTGTTCCTCTAGCTCGATTTGCGGCCCACACCGTCACGCACGTTGATCAGCGCCCATGGCCTGATGAGGAGCGTCGTTCGACGTGCTGCGGCGAGAGAGAACTTTAAGCACCTTTGCTCCCGGTATATTTGATCTCGGGAACGTGAGAGAATAACGGAGGTTGTGGACAGAGTGTGCATGTTACTGCAATTTTGAGGTAGACCCTGCGAGTCCTGGTGCTCTGAATAGCGGCCCCGCCTGTCCCATCTTCCTCATCCACTTAGAAGGGGTGCATGGTTGGTATCTGGCTCCACCGTCAACTTAGAAATCACAAAAATAGACTGAACAGACGGGTATCATCCTGATCTGAAACAGCAAAACCAGACCGTACATGGCTTCATAGTGCGCCCAATCAATACCTTTTTATCAAGACCTAGCCATATACGCCGTTGAGGTACACTCTCCCAAATAACGGCCAACTCTGGTAAAACGGTTTAAGCTGGCGGATACTCGGATGATCGGAAATTGACCTATACCCCAGAAACCCATTTAGTAAACTAAGTACATTCCGAGGCGTATTCTGTAGTGTTCAGTATGACAATCGTGATCAACATCTGAGTTACACATTCGTCTAATACCGAGAGTCTTTGAAACTCGGATTTATTCATCATGGTGACCACACAATGTGCCCAGCGACCCTGAGTAATTGTGGGGAGTTAATAGACCACCTAGCCACTGGCGGCTCAACGGATCACTCGTCAGTTATACTTTATATTTTCGGAGGTCATCCTTCAGACTTTGATGCTCCAGATTCAACCCCCAATAACACTAAAATGATAAAGTACACACATCGCATAACAAAAGTACACCACAGGCATAGCTTACAACCCTCTCAATGCTCAAGTAGCACATATGAACACGCTCGCCAGCGCATTCACTGGATGGTATTGTGAGCCACCGAAGAATCAAAGAGAAGTCCGCACTCACACATGCAATCAACAACGTTGTTAGTAGAGCTCGATGTGCCTTTAGCCCCGTGTTCGCGAACGTAAAACAAAGTCGTTACAATCTCATCCACGATGCTCGAGCTCGGCGATGGCAATGAGATACGCAAGGCCGGTGGTGTAGACTCGGGGTTCTTTCCTATGGGATCCGGTGTCTTGGATGCGAACGTGGCGACCACTGCGCGAGATTCATCGAGTAGCTGAAAATTTGGAGGAGGGTATGAAAGACTGGAGCCTGTGGATAGGAGTAGTGATACATACCTCTATCGTCTGCTTCACCTTATTAACCCCCCAAGTATACTTCTTCCCATCTGAGAATACGAAAGTCGAAACCCTTAAGCACCCGGAATGAATAAACTTGCATGCCTAGAAAATCGAAACCTCGGACGTACCCTTTCACCCTCTCGATGACCTTCCCATCCACACGACACTCTGCCTTCGCTTTCCTATCAAAGCTTCCAATCTCCGAACCGTGCTTCTTCACAACAACTGGACTCTCCTTGCTCGCCGGCACCGTGATCTCGAATTCGGGTGTCGATCTCAAGTCTTCCCCAGCAAGAGTAAGAGTGCTTATGACAGACGAGTCTTCAGGGAAAGAGTAGACAAGTACATAGTCAAGGGTGGACGTCATCGTCAATCCACAATGGTTGAACGGTCTCGAAATGTGGGGTTGTATGTGCGAAGCCCTGAAAATTGGGTGATGTTTATATGTTTATATGTGAGCGGCTATCGTCGATCTGCTGGACTGGGTCGGTTCCCGTAGCCCCTATGGGGCTCTGTTCATGGTTTGATGCATCGAATGATCTGACAGACTACTTCGGAACAGACCTTATGCATATCAGTAGTTTGGCACTCGGGAACGTGAGAGAATGACGGAGGTGGCAATGATAGTTTATATTGGCTGTAGTATATCAAGTGGAATGCGTGAGCTTTGGGTATTGACGCCTGGACCTTGACCTACACATAGTGACGCCATAGCAAGGTAGATCTCCCGTTCGCTGAGAAGAAAGAATTTTTACGGACGAAGGGTATTGATAATCAACGTAATGAAGGATAGTAAATTCGTTGAAAACATGACGAGTAATCCTGTCCAATCAATTTCTCATTATCCCAGGCCCAAGGCACGTATACGCGCTCTGTTCAGTCAGACTTTCCCGACCGACTGCCAACTCCCAGTGCCAGTCATACCCGTTGCAATGGTGTTAGCAATTCTTTTCGATACCGTAAACCGACACCGATGTTCCACCCAA